GATTAGAAACTGAGTCAACAAATGTGTATTTGGGAACTTTTAGTAGCGATTTTCACCTAAAAATGAAACTCAACTAAAAGTTCCCAAATACACATTTGTTGACTCAGTTTCTAATCCTGATTCTGCATATGCAATTGCTATTGTATTAAAGTTGATTTCGGATGGAGAAAATTGAGAACTACGAGCAGAATTCTGACTTTTTCGTTTCTGATTGAGAAAAAATGAATTTTTCAGCAACAGAAAGAAATTTCAAAACGAGTGATACGTACTTTTATTCTACGTTTCAAGGCGGTTCGAATGGCATCAGAATCAAGGCTCCATCTCTTTACAGAAAAAATTAAGATAGGTTTGCCACCGAATAGTGTCGAAATCGGAGCCCTCCAAAGTATAACGAGAGATCGAACATTTCTCATGACTCTGGAACCTTGAAATACACTTCTCTGTATGAAGTTTTTCATGCTGATTTCGAAAAATACTTTTGGAAGATTCCAGAATCACGTGGAACCGAGATGTCATCTGATTTTTGGAAAGTCGTCGTTTTTCAAAAAAATGGACCACTTCCATATTTTGAATTTTTTCGTAGAAACCGTGCTAAACGATAAAAACCGTCTATAAACGATTTGACTACATTTTCTCTCATACTAGATACTATTTTCATTCAAACGGTAAGAGCGCAATTCGGTTAACCTATAAACATATAAATATTTTTCTTATTCAAAAATCTTCTCACAGCAACTGCGAGTTAGGTATGCACCAGTATCGGTATCCATACCAAAATACCGAACTTCAGTATATATTGATACGGAAAATACCGAATACTGAAAATACCTACTCTTTGGGATTTTTTCATTCGAAATGAAATATTTTAGCGTCATGAACAGCAAGAACACAAAAAATACTCAGCTGTATATTCTGAGCATGTGCGGATAGAAAATAAAGGAAAATAGGTATGCGCCGGTATCGGTATATCGAATATCGAAAATACCGACTTTTTGGGATTTTTTCATTTGAAATGAGATAGCTTAGAGTTATGGACAGCCAGAAAGAATCAGGAACGCAAAACAAGAGCTTTGTTTGCGTTCCAAAGCCAAAGTTTTACTTTATCTATACATACTCGGAATACACAGCTGAGTGTTTTTTGTGTTCTGACTGTCCATGACGCTAAATCATCTTAATTCAAGCGAAAAAAATCCAAAAAAGTCTGTATTTTTGGTACCGCTATATACTAAAGTTCGGTATTTTCCCATCGGCCTTTCGGAATAGATACCAATACCGGTGCATACCTAAAGGAAAACTTTAATTTTAGAAAGCAGACAAAGCTCTTGTTTTGTGTGTCTGATTCTTTCTGGGTGTCCAGAATGCTGAATTATCTCATTTCAAACGAAAAAATCCCAATAAGTCCAAAGCGAAAAACGTCGGTATTTTCGGTATTTGGTATACCGATATCGGTGCATATCTACTGCCAGTACGAATCGATTCTGATCCTAGATAATACCACTGTTCAAATTTTTATTGGACTTACCGTGAAACGAAAAAAATCCATCTGACTATCCTTAAGGGTACTCCGTCCCCCTCTTTTTTTGCAAAAAAATTGTCATTTTAAGCTGAACATAGTCTAATGTAGAGGAAAGTCTGGGCTATAAAATGAGACTACTTCCGGCTCTCTATGACCTTCCTTGAAAAAATTACGAAGCTTTTAAGTTTTTCCTTCAAACCCTAGAAAATCTCAATTTTTAGTCTAATCTAAATTTTAAAATCTAAAATCTAAATTTTTCTCTCCTTTTCTATATATTCAAACTTTTTTCTTATATATAGCATGATAGAAGAAAGTCTGCTCTTCAAAAATAGATGTTTTCCAGAATTTTCCGATGAGTTTTCTTAGAGATATAAGCATTGCCGCAAATGCCCTGAAAAACAGAGCCGTGTGTACAATATGTGTTTTTCTCACTATGCGTTTTTTAATAGTCCCTTCAATTGGCACACGTTACGACCCCTCGAAAAAATGGTCCGACACTTTACCACAGATACTTCAGACTCTATCTCAAGTTCGATTTCTTTTTAAAGCGTTTTCGATTTCAACTTTCGCCGTGAGAAGGTTTTCAAAGTGAAAAACCAGTTTTTTATATGGGATTTTCAGTATTTTTCGAATATCTCGAGAAAGAAAGCATATTTTTCACAAATAAAAAAGCTAACCTGAGATAGGATCTGAAGTATCTGTGGTAACATTTTGAGCTCGATCGGACCATGTTTTCGGGGGTCGTAATGTGCCTGGATGAAAAGTCGAGTTTTCCAGAAAAACCATAGAAAAACACGTCAGAAAATTCTGGGCAAAAATACATAGATTTTATTTTTCGATGTTTTATCTCTAGTATAAATTTGAACCCGATCCGACATCGGCTTCGCCGATTTCCAAGATGGTAAAAAAAGAGGGGGGAGGGTACCCTTAAGAATACAGAAAAGAAAACTTTAAAAAGTACAGACACAATCTTGATCATCTGTGGTTGTCGCCATGCTCGCAACAAATATCAATAAAAAAATCAATTTCAATGAAAAATATCTACAAAACGGTTTCTGAATGAAGTATACTGTTTCCCACATCAAAAACTCAGCTCTTAAAAAAGGTTTTCAGTAGCTTTTCTGAAGCTTTTGGTAAGCAATATTCTTTTAAAACAGACAAATAACATCTGAAATGTGATCTTCGGCACTCGTGGTAAAAAATTCAGGGTCAATTCGATAAAATTCTTTCAAAAAAAGTTTGTGTTTTTGGCAATGTTTGTTTTTATTAAAAGTTAAATCTATTTCGACTGCGATAGTTATCTTCCCTAGGTTCTGGAACTTTTAATAAAAACAAACATTGCTAAAACAATTCAGTTTGATCGATAATCTTGGACGTATTTTTTTAATGGGCGCTTTTATTGCGGAGAGAGACTTTCAAACGTGTTTCCATGAAAAGAAGTGCCTCAATCTTCTCTAAACCCCCTTTCATATTAGAAGCCCCCTTCTATTTGGTCATGCAAACTTTGGCCGAGTTTTGCTGGGAAAAACTGAAAATTTTCCTGGAGAGATCTCTTGAAGGGGCTTCTAATAAGGGAAGGACTTCTAATATGGAAGGGACTTCTATTATGATGGGGGGTTTTATCGAATGACGAAAACACGAAACTCTATCTCAGTTCTGACAAAAGTTAAATCAAATGTTTTCGTGATCATTATATTCTGAAATCGATGATAATTTTTTTCTGATACTCAGCCTTGATGCCGAAGTTTATTTTATGATTATTGAATACGAATTCATCACACCTCCGATTTTACGTGGACTGCAGTATTCCTTACAAACAACCCCCTCCTAAAAATGATGGAAAGACGTGGTCATTTCGTAATACCCCTCTTTGGAATTTCTCATATTTATCTTTAATTGGTAAGTTTTTCTACGTACAGATTGTTCTCGTTTCACACAGTGGTAGTAGACAAACGTTTAGTCTAACTAATATACATTATCTGGTATACTACTTATCTGGTATCCTCTCAATTCGTCCCAAATTGACTTCTCAGTTCGTCCCGTCAACACTTCTCTGTCAAATCGTCCCAGATATCTATGCTCACGCCTAAAAATAAACAAAGTGTTGTACCATGGAACAATTTAGACGACGACGGGACTTGTAGACAAAACTAGGTGCGACTACATGGCAAAATGTGCCGTGTTAGCCACTACTATCACAATTTAAATCTAAATAAGTTAAACTGTTTTGTTCATCAGAATGTTAATTTTCACGTCTACTGAAAAAGACCAACCAGATTATGGGTATCAATATACCCAAAAACGAGTAAACAAAACAAATAATCAACGGCGTTGTCGGGATCGAAGATGTTCAAGTACAATATCATTATGTACAGACGATGTGAGAATTTTTTGGAATGAATCAGCACACGCATGCAAACCAGATACCACCAAAGTTCTCGTTGATATTGCTGTTGATAATATGAAAAAATGTGCAAGAGAGGAATCACTACCTATTCCAAAAATATATTCACAAGAGATCGTCAGAACAAGAGTTGTCAGGCCTGGTCTAGTAATTAGTTACTTCCGAATGCTGATGCTTCACTTTATCGTCGTAGGGCGCTTAGTTATCCTAAATTGTCAACAACTACCGATGAAATCGATTAGACCGGCTTATCGAAAGAAGAGGGAGAATTCTTGCATTCTATTCATCCTCATATTTATGAATTTGTTCAATTGTTACGTGATGAACATTCGTTTCAACATCATCAAGCTGAATCCATGTAGATGAAAAAATTCGTTCGAGGGGTGCGGCTAGTACTCGAAAATAGGCCGTCGCTGAGGGCTCGAACCCTCGGAAATTGGCACTTGAGACCCTCGATATAAGCTTTCGAGGGGTATCGATTTTCGAGCCCTCGGATTTCAGATACGTGGCGAGCCCTCGAGAAAAATTTCGAGCCATCGAGCAGAGATGTTCGGGACTTCCGAGCCCTCGACCCGAAGGTGCGATGTTTGTGACTTCTGAGTCCTCGCTCATACGAGGGTACGACAAGGGCCCGGAAGTCCCAAACATCTGTGTTCGACGGCTCGAAATTTTTCTCAAGGGCTCGCTACCTATCTGAAATACGAGGGCTCGAAATCGACACCTTTCGAAAGATTACATCGAGAGTCCGAAGTGCCATTTTCCGAGGGTATGAGCCCTCGGCGAAGGCCCATCGAAAGCATATTTTCGAGCACTTGAAGTACCCCTCGAACAACTGATTGAGTTAAGCATCGGAAATTTGTGCTCCAAAAAGAAAGAAATTATATTTAGAGATTGACAATAAGCTGAAAGAATCACTTCATGGTTTTGCTACGGGTATACTGAATGAAGCTGAATTAGTTATACAGGATGGCAGAGCAGCCAAAACTATTCAGATTAAAAAATAAAGTATACTTTTGCTATTACCTTTTCTTAAAATAATATAAATATATTAAAGCTGTTTTACTTGAGACTAGGTTCGTCTTTACTCAGAAGATTTCATCAGTCAAATGATGACAAAAAAGTCTGTACGCAAGTGGTACGGATAATTATATTAAAGCTAATTAAGTGTAAACTAATATGAGACCAATTGAGGGAGAAGTGTTGATGGAACGAAATGAGAAAAATTTTTTGGGACTAATTAGTTGGGACGAACTGAGGAAAAAAGCTTCATGGGACGAATTGAGAAGTCAATTAGGGACGACCTGAGGGTAAACCACTTATCCTATTTCCTTTGAATGTTAAACTTACGTGTTTTAATTTTAGAAATTCTAAATTATTATAATTATCAGCCTATTCAACGAAGAAAATGATCGATATGCTGGTCTGTAACAGTTGTCATTGATATTTATCCTAATATACTTTTCTCTTTGTATAAATTTTTGATTGACAATTATTCATTTATATGTATATATATCTTAACTGTAAAAAAGATAGACATAGACAGAGAAAAAAGACAGTTAGACAGAAATCGACAACGAGCGTTCTAACTAATCTCTCCCTGTTATTCTTATAAGAAAGCTATGAAAGACACGAAGGTTCATTAGATGACACTATCGTTTATCAGTTTGTCAACTATAATTAACACGTGGGAGCGATAGTGTCTAATCAAAATTATAATATCTTTTAGCGATGCTCTAATTTACTATTTATGATGTTTCTTCTTCCTCCTTTCGTAAAGTCGATGAAATCCGCTAATTTTCACGTTAAGCATCACTTATGAGTATTCTTATCTATCTGTAACTCAACCTATAATGGAATATATCTTTCATATTCAATGGACAGAACGAGTATGCAGTTTTAGTCTATTTGTTTTGATTTCGACAATAGTTTTTGAATTAGTAGTTGCGTATTGTTCACTTTTTATAATTCCAGTAATGATAAATTATGGCCAAATGAGGGATTTACTTCTTCTGTACGTTCCCTTGTGTTTTGTGAAAACTTCCAAGGACATGTCCGTTCTCCAAAGGAGATGGAAGTTTGAAGTTTATTTTTATAGAGAGAATCCTAGGAGCAAATGAACCTCGGAAAATGTTGGAGTTTACATAATCTTAATTTCTTGTTAAGAATAGGCAAGAATACTGATAGATAAGGCTGTAGAAATATAGTCGCGCCAGTGTTTTTGCAAGAATGCTTGCTGCTTTAAAAAAATTTCGTTTTTTTTCCTCATTTCCTGTCTACGTTGAAATTTTTAATTTTTTTATGTTGACAGACATTATGTGTTTTTGCAGAGATTTTATTTATTTATTTTTTGTTTTGAAAACGGAAGGACAATCTTTCGACATTGGAGATTGATCAACGCACGTTCTTTTTTCAAACATAAGTGAAGATTCGGCGCCATACGCTGCACAAGTAGAACTAAAATGTTTTTTGGACTAGAAAAAACTTTTCGTGTATTTATAAGAGTAGATTGTCCGGCGTCATTTGTTCTTGAGACGAAATATTAGATAAATATGTCTATTATTAAAAGTACTGGTAAGAGAAATGAAGTGGCGGTAAACGAAAGAAGAAAAAAGAAGACAAAAAAAGATTTGTTAATTGAAATGAGAATGAAGACTGAACATATATAAACTCATGCATTATTGAAACTATTTGGATTATTCATAAACAGAGCAAAGAAGAAACAATAACGACCGTTCTTCTTCAGAAGATTTATTGATTCCTTTCTTTTAGGTATTTATCTAAAATAGTTTTACTCTAGTACTGAGATCCCTATACCTACTATAGCGTTAAAGCATCTATGTGTTACTCTTGCCACTGATTGATACTGTAAAAATGTATTAACTGACGAGGGAACCTATCCAACCGTCGGACGCCGTTTGACTCCATATTTTGGCTATAAGTAGGACTCAGTGAGACTAAGAAAATCCTAAAAGGGTTCGGGCCCATGACTCTTGAAGACCGCGTTTTCTGGAAAACCAGTTTTTCAAGAACTCTAAAAGATAACTAAACCCTTCTTTTAATCAGATATAATTGTAGCCCGCAAATTTCTGATTAAAATGAGACGTCTTCCAGCTCTACACGACCTTTCTTTGCAAAGTTATAGAATTTACAAGAAAAGCCCTAAATTAATTTCTTATTTCTGTAGCTTTGAGCTGACAATAAACATTTAGGGCTTTTCTTGTAAATTCTATAACTTTGCA